TATTAATACGAATATTTAATTTGCCTTGAAGTGCTTGTGGTTGTCCTCCGTCGTAAGCTTGGATAATATATTGTAATGAATCACATAATTCTCTATCAAGAACTTTCATAAGACGTAATGCCAGTAAATCATTTTTCTTTGAGTAGTCTAATTGAAAAGCTTGTTGAATTCGATTGCTATAGTTTTTACCCGTGGAATTATCTTCGACAAGTCTGTAACCTTGAATGGAGTTATTTCCGTAATCCGGATCGCTGGCTACATCGATGGGTATGACGTAGCCGACAGGTACATTTTCTAAAACGTCGATCGTCACTGATGATTTAGGAAATTGTGGCGCATGATCATTTTGATCGTCGATGATAACGGACAGATCATTGAAAAAGATCTGTCCAGTATGTACACATAAGACTTCTAATGTAATTTCACATTTTGCACACGAACACATTCGACGAAGACAAAAGTCATCACGATCAATTAGTTTTTTCGTTGTCACACGTCCCGTGTATGGATCAATAAGAAAAAAATCATTGGAATTCTTTTGACTGTCGACAAATCGATATGTACCGGTACTGTTTTCTGTTTTACAACCTTCTGTATAAAATGTGTATATGGACGTACCGATAGGGAGATCTTCGATAATGTGTATCGATTCTTTGGATGTTGACGAAACAAAAAATAAAAAATTGATAAAAAATAAAAGTTGAAACATGTTTCTGTAAGTGTTTTGCTATTGTGGCAATGCTTGTCTAAATTGTCTTACTTGGCTAATTTGAATGAGTAAATATTGTCATCATCATCATCGTCATAAGCAACTGTATTACTGTGTGTGTGTGTCTGTTTGTATGTGAACAGGAACAATCTGCGAGAGAAGAAGGGAAAGGATTTCCTCATTAATATACGACATATTGAACACACATACATATAGACAGAAGAGAGAAGGAGAGAAAGGAGAGAAAACGAGAGGGGGAGAGAGAGAGGAGAAAATTAACACTTAGACTCATAGCGGTACCATTGTAAAAGAGAAGAAGGAGAAGGAAAAAAACTGTTCCCGTTGGAGTTTTTTTTCTTCTTCTTTTTTCTGACAAAGAAAGGAAGAGAGCAGGGACACGCGTACGTTCTAACTGTCTGACCGGTGTCTTGAAAAAAATGAGTCTTTCCGCTCACCAGACTCAATGGACGACTGATTACCTCTCTCTTTTCATCGCTTGCTATCCTTATTAGTCTCAAGTTACCTTCTCCTCCTTGTTTGCTGCTTTTTTTCTCTGTCTCTTCCCTTTTTTGTGTACGCGCTCATTTTCTTCACATTTGAGNAGAATTACCCAACGCATCAAACAGCACCAATTGGCACTTGAAATAGAGTCATACATCCAAGATGTATCGACCTCTCTCTGATGGTCTCTCATCATTTGTGAGATGATTACGTAAAATGAGAGACGACATCATAGAAAAGAGACGAGGAAAAGGAATCTTCAACAATGATAATTATTAGCCTATTTCATCTAATCGAAGAATCTGAAATACACCTTTTCTTTGTATAGAAACTTCCGTTGCTGTCAGCTTTTTTTTCTTCATTCAGGTGAATGCTTCGAATTCTTGTCTGCAAACATGTCGATGCCTTTATTTGTCATACCAAGACAATTCAATGATGATGACGTAAACGTCCCGATGCACATAAATGGAAGAGAGTAGTGACCACGTCTTTTGTTCATTAATGAAAACTCGAATAATGTTTGTGAAAACACACTGAGTATGGACAAAGCTGGTAGCCACATAATGATTATTGTGAATGTATGTCCGATTGTGTCTATCGATTGCTTTCCATATTTCTATGTGTCTTGGAATCGTTCGTTCGTTTCTCGACAACATAACGAGCAATGTCAGTCGGATACATGACGTTAATGATGTGTTTTCACAGATTCGCTAGCGTTTGTCAATATTACCATCGTTTATCTCTTATTATAGTTGTACAGTTTGCCTAGCACTAATTACGACATACCTCGCTCTCGGGTGGTGTAACAGATGTTTTGAACACATACCCTCATCGAAGGACAATAATCATCGACAGAGAAAAAAAGGTTTTCTTCTCTCCTTCTTCTTTACACTCACACAAGTGTTTGTCGAGTGATCGAACAACTATGGATCACTTGTTTTGTGCACAATAAAGAATTCGATAACTTTTTTCAAGAGGATCTTTTATACGTCTCACTCGTCATATACATCGATATTTTCTTTTTTTTTTTGCATTACATGAATATACTTCACACTTGCTTACTTATACATCATATGTATATTTATAGATCGATATACATAGCTGATGTCTTCGCTCTCTCTGACAGTTCAACACTCGACATACGAGTGTAAATGAAAGCCAAAAATATGAGATCGCCTGCGTGACTGGCTCTTATATAATCATCATTTGCTTATATATTGTCCGTCGGACATATTTTATCTTCGTATATATATATCTGACAAGGTGAAGAAACAATTTGTTCCACACTAAGTCTTCGCCTATGTCAGACACATTGATAGAAACATTTTATATACACAAGAATGCCTCATTAAATCATGTGTGTGTACGCAAAGTTAACGAAGGTGACAAAAAGCTTTCTANAATTGAAGAATCGATAGAGTCAACATTCAACAGATGGATTTTATGCTTGAGAAGAGCGATTATCATTCTCATTTCGTAGAATTACCCAACGCATCAAACAGCACCAATTGGCACTTGAAATAGAGTCATACATCCAAGATGTATCGACCTCTCTCTGATGGTCTCTCATCATTTGTGAGATGATTACGTAAAATGAGATACGACATCATAGAAAAGAGACGAGAGAAAGAAATCTTCAACAATGATAATTATTAGTCTATTTCATCTAATCGAAGAATCTGAAATACACCTTTTCTTTGTATAGAAACTTCCGTTGCTGTCAGCTTTTTTTTTCTTCATTCAGGTGAATGCTTCGAATTCTTGTCTGCAAATATGTCGATGTCTTTATTTGTCATACGAAGACAATTCAATGATGATGACGTAAACGTCCCGATGCACATAAATGGAAGAGAGTAGTGACCACGTCTTTTGTTCATTAGTGAAAACTCGAATAATGTTTGTGAAAACATACTGAGTATGGACAAAGCTGGTAGCCACATAATGGTTATTGTGAATGTATGTCCGATTGTGTCTATCGATTGCTTTCCATATTTCTGTGTCTTGGAATCGTTTGTTCGTTTCTCGACAGCATAACGAGCAATGTCAGTCGGATACATGACGTTAATGATGTGTTTTCACAGATTCGCTAGCGTTTGTCAATATTACCATCGTTTATCTCTTATAATAGTTGTACAGTTTGCCTAGCACTAATTACGACATACCTCGCTCTCGGGTGGTGTAACAGATGTTTTGAACACATACCCTCATCGAAGGACAATAATCATCGACAGAGGAAAAAAGGTTTTCTTCTCTCCTTCTTCTTTACACTCACACAAGTGTTTGTCGAGTGATCGAACAACTATGGATCACTTGTTTTGTGCACAATAAAGAATTCGATAACTTTCTCAAGAGGATCTTTTATACGTCTCACTCGTCATATACATCGATATTTTCTTTTTTTTTTGCATTACATGAATATACTTCACACTTGCTTACTTATACATCATATGTATATTTATAGATCGATATACATAGCTGATGTCTTCGTTCTCTCTGACAGTTCAACACTCAACATACGAGTGTAAATGAAAGCCAAAAATATTAGATCGCTTGCGTGACTGGCTCTTATATAATCATCATTTGCTTATATATTGTCCGTCGGACATATTTTATTTTCGTATATATATATATATTTGACAAGGTGAAGAAACAATTTGTTCCACACTAAGTCTTCGCCTATGTCAGACACATTGATAGAAACATTTTATATACACAAGAATGCCTCATTAAATCATGTGTGTGTACGCAAAGTTAACGAAGGTGACAAAAAGCTTTCTATTGTAATTTTCTTGAGTTCAACTGAATGTGCATTTGCAAAGAGGGATAGTAGACATTGAACTTTCTCCTCTTCTATCCATGAGACGATTAGTCGGGACAACTAATTGCTTCTATGGTCATTACCGTATATGAAGACGTACGCGTGTGTGCATTTCCGGTCACCGTTTTTTTTGAAGGAAATAATGACACAGGATAGTCGCCGACGGCTAAAAAAGGGAAATGGAACCGTTCATCATTCTGTGAAACATTAAGGAAAAGTTAGACATTCAAATTGAGCTGCGATGTTTGAAGTACAGACGGGTGGGTGAGACAAACTGTACTGCTCAGTAGGACTTCATGAAAAGGAAATGAGATTGGCTTGAAGATAGTTAAATTAGTAAGATTATACTGTTGTGTTGAAATTGAATTTTAATCAATATTATTCTTAGTAGTCGGAAGTTGATCTTTCATAAAAATT